GGCCTCATCTTCGTGGTGGTGTTATCCGTGCTGGCGTGGATCTTCAGTCCTAAGGGGGACAATCAGACGTGCGTTGCTCCTACCTACCTACCTCCTGCCTGCCTGCCTGTCTTTACCATATCCCCTCCTATCTCTCCTCTCTGGGTTCTTGTTTTCAGGCTCCAATCCAGTCCATTCCAGTCCAATCAATCCCGCCCTGAAACCAGCAAACTAACACCAATAGTAATAGTGTCTTCCGCAGCACACTGATCCTCTCGTTCGCGTGCTGTTATCTGATGTGGGGTATGTTCATGCTGTCACTATCCTGTTCTTCTGCCTATATATCCAATATCCAATTCCGTATTCGTCGGGTTGTGAAGTGTCCCGGGATAGGATAATTAGGAGAGTGCTAATTCGGTGGTGCTGCAGCGATCACGTTCCTGGCCCAGTGGCACCCGCTTATCACGCCCAAGCGGTCGGATATTCGACCCGAGAGGGTACCGCAGTGAGAGGTAGCTGTCTTTCGGGGATGGCTAGGGGGGTGTGGATTTATGGGGGTGGGGGTTTGATTTGGAGGGGTTATGTGATGTGGTGAGGAGGGGAAAAGGAAGGGGGGAGAAAGTGGTTGGGTGTGTATGGATGGATGGGTGATATACCATGATAGGATGGGGGGGGTTGTATGTATAGCTACGCTTTTTTTTTCTCTCTGTTTTGCTTAATACCATTACTACGGTACCTTCGTATCTTTCTCTATCTATGTGTAAGGCTTGCGGGCGTGGGTTGGGGGGTTTTGGATGGGTGTGGTGTAGTGTATGGTGTTATTAGATTGAGTCTATGTTCTATGGTGATAATATACTAACGTGTTACCCGACTCCGATAGCGCCCAGGATTACTCGCTGGACTGTCCAGCGGGCGGCCAATCCTGCCACGGCTAATGCTACCGCGCGTAGATATCCGCACCCGAGCAGGATGTATAAGGCTTCTATGTTGCTCAGGAGTACGAGATGGGTATCTGCTGCGCCGAGGGATAGAAGCGGCCCGATGAGCTCGATGAAGCTGGCTAGGTAGCTGGTCGGTACGGACTCCGGCATGATCCGGATGAGGCTCTCGAGTAGAGAGGATGACACAGGGACACCGGTGGCGTGAGGCTGGGTGGCTGTGAGAGTAGCCGCGGGGGTCAGGCCGGTGCCGTCCTCAGTGAGGGTCGTTTGACTGCCTGCACTGAGACGGGTGCTGTTTGCGCCGGAGGCGTTGGAGGCATTCCCGCTGCCGTCGGGTCCCCAGATGACAAGCAGGATGGGGAACAGTTTTGCGCAGCTGCTGACGAGCAGAGCGGTGCTGATGGCCGTTGGGCTGGCCGGGGACGGCGGCGGAAGGGGTCTGATTCTCTGTGCGGGGGCGGTGGAGGTACGACGTAAAGGGGGTGGGCGGGTCGGGAAGGTCCCCTGTGGTGTGGAGGGGGGCAGGTGGTGAATGTCACTGCCGGAGGCACTGGCTATGGTCGAGACATCGTTGGAGGAGCCCTGTGGGGTGAGCTTTGGGGGGCTCAGGGTCGAGTTGGGCGTTGGGGAGAGTTGTGTTTGATTGGCGGTGGTGGTGGTGATGGTCTGAGACGGGAAGGATGGGAGCACCGGGGTGGAGGGGTTGGAGAAGACAGGGGGTTCTGTCGCATTGCCGTTAGCACTGTTGCTGTTCTGGGAGTATCCGCGTGCGGCTGGGGCGAGGACTGATGCGAGAAGGCGGATGGCGAGGTGGTGGGCAAGGGTCGCGAGCGCATTGAGACTCAGGAAGAAGAGGTATTGAACGATGATGGGCGCGCGCGAGAGAAAGGTGGTTGCGAGCGATGGGGATTTTTCGATCCGGGTCCAGGTCAGGTAGACGTCGAACAGAAGGAGGAGGATTCCGAGACGGATTATGGAACGCTGAGCAGATGTGTGTCAGTTGCAGTCTAGATGTCGAGGTGTGATGGGACGGTCGGTGGTGGGCGCTTACATCGAATTGGTTGTCGTCCCCCCCGAGTCGGTTGAACAGCAGGTGTCGATACACCTTCCTCCGTCAGTCATTGCTTCTTCTAGTGGGAAAGGCTCGCATACCTGCGGCTTGATCAGGACGAGATCAATGAAGATCACGACAAAATCATATTCGACGTATTTGTCCGCGAAGCGTTGGCAGCGCGGACATTGCGTCAGGCGGACCCCTTTGCCCAGAGAGCGGTCATCGGCGCGACTGTATGTGCTGTACAGATGGGACACAGGATAGGAGCACTCGATGCAGATGGGCATCGTGTCATTGACTCCTCTTCATAGTGAGCCCATGCCTTGGTTATCTGGGGAAGTGGTGGAGCTCGTGGAGGGCTCCGAGGGCCGCAGCGACCCCGAAGGCGGTGAGATGCCGTCCGTATACTCCTGGCTGTCGCCTCCGTACCTACACTCCTCTCTCTCTTTCAACACACAACGGGCATACTCGATTATGTTGACCCAGCTCTCCTAAAGACACTCCTGGGATGCTGCATTTTATCTAGGTGCTAACATGTACATCCGCAGATTATCTCCAATCCCTACAGTTTACTCTCACCCGCCGGGATCTCCACATAGCCTGCCAGGATGTTATTCCGGCGACTCTGCAACCGTTCCTCCGTTGTCTTAAACAGCCGTGGCAGCCCAGTCGCCTCGTATGAGACCCCTTCCATGATCAATTTGGCGATGCCGCGGGCCGAGTGAAAGATCTGGGGCATTCCGTGACCGCTGAATCCGGCGACAATGAGCTGACCCGGCTTATTTGGGACGTGTCCAACATGCGGCAGCGAATCGGTACTATACCCCATGACTACTCAGAGTTAGCACGATATGACCTTATAAAATGGGATGGGAGTGAGGGCCACGCACTCCCTGACCAGACGCGGTCTGTGTATGCTCCCGTGTTCTCCCAGCCATGGAAATTCCTCTGCATATAATTGTCAAAGTATCGCCTTGCGGCGTCAACCATTCGACTGTCGTCGGTGTTGTTATACCAACTGTCTCGATCTTGCTTGTAGTAGGTGGATTTGGCCCCGCCCACAACAATGCTCCCGTCCGGTCGCGGGATGAGGTAGTCATAGTCCCAGCCGTTGAAGCGCAGTGTGTATGAGCGGTCAAGCGGCGACGGGGGTGGATTGGGCACAACTATGCGACTGCAGAAACCTCGAACAGGGACTATGCTATCCTTGTACTCGGGTGCAAGGGCTGATGTATACGCATTAGTCGAGAAGACGACCCATTTGGCGCGGATTGAGCCTCGATCAGTGGTCACTGTCCACCGTCCGTCGGCATCTGGCGCTTCCGAGACCTTTGTGACAGGGGTGTTCGTTTGCAGGTTGACTCCGGCGGAGATGGCCTGCTCTAGAAGGTGCATGACAAACTTGTATGGCCACATGCGGGCCGTTCGCTGGCTGAAGCAAGCCCGGGCTCCTTTCACGCCAGATACCTATACGATGTGAGTGGTTTGATGCAAATCACCATGATAACATAGAAAGTAGATATGACGTACAGCCTCTGCGGACTCGGTTGGGGTGAACGTGACGTCTTTGGCCGTTTCCACGCCCTTGGAGACCAGGAAATCATACCCGGCCTTGACTTTGGCGAGCTGGTCCTTATCGTACTGTACTTCGCATACACGGTTTACCTCCAGGTCGCAGTCGATCTTCTCCTTCTCGACAAATACTTGGACGGCAGAGACATGTTCCATCTCAAACGCAGCGACTTCGGCCGCCGCCTCGAGTCCATACTCGGCTGCTAGCGTGCCAATGCGGTTATATACATCGGGCTTCAAATGACCGCCTACAGTAGCCACAACCATACGTTAGTATTCCAAGTAGCATAATTCAATTGCAGATGCTATACTTGCCATTGCGTCCTGTTGCCCCCGAGCATGCCTGTCGCGCTTCGAGGATCACAATTGAGGGTTTCTTCGCCGATGCCGGGCTGCGGTCCAGCAAATGATGGGCAGTCGACGCTCCAGCATAGCCAGCCCCAATGATAACGATATCAGTCGTCTCTGGCAGAGTCTCCGAGGAGCGGAAATTATCCAGGGCATGGGGTTCCGACCGCCAGAAAGACGTGAGGCTGTGATCGACAGGAAATGGCTTGGTCATGACGAAGAGAACGGCGAAAAAGATCGCTATTTATTTAATTGATAATTTTCAAATACGCACGAAGATTGACGACGTTGGAGCCCCCAGCCTCAACTTATATAAAGTCGGGGCGATGATCTCCAGCACGACAGTGGAGATAAGGAAGGCTGCCAGCTCATCGCGCCGCGGTCGGCATTGGACAGAACCGCCGATGGAATGCAGCCCAGTGTCTGTGCCTGGTCTGTTAGAATTTAGATAGGTTATCTTAGTGTCGATAGGAACCACGGCAAGCTTATCAGATTGTGTCGAGTTGGAGAAGGCTTGCGGGCAGGTTATCCATACTACTTGGTAGGACTTGAGTAGTGTCCCGGAATGAGGGGTACGGCGGGAAGTAACGGGAGTATCGAGCATTGAGATTAAATAGCGAGTAGGATCCATTTAACATTCGCCATCAGATATTTAAAGAAACGCATTGCGTTGTAATAAATAAGGATTGGACATTAAGTATCTAATATGACAGTTAGACCAGTCACTTCTTGAACATTAATTGATCCCAGCAGAGATCCGAGACAGCAACAAGAGCGGGACAGACACACTGATAGGAACAGCCCCGAGAGATTCCCCCCTGCCACAATTCCCCAGACTCATCCAGCGGCACGTACGGAGTAGAGCTAGCACCCACATCCATATTCCGGAACAATAATGAATCATACTAATAAAAATATACTTTTTAATCTAAGCATCACATCCTTTTAAGCCCGATTAAGCATCTAACTAATAGCTCGTCCTTATGACAAATAGGGTAAATCCCCTCCTCCTGTAAGCCTCGGGGAATCAAGTCCTAAAAAGATCTGGGGAAATAGCAGGTTCTGTCGATATGTATCAAAGCCTGAGCAGCTAGTATTAAGCATCAGGCAACGTGCCCGAGTGGTTAAGGGGAGAGACTCGAACTACGGTCCGTTGACTTCCACTCACGTGACTACTAGAATTGCAATCTCTTGGGTTCGCCCGCGCGTGTTCAAATCACGTCGTTGTCGTTTCTTTTTTTTCTTCTTCTTTGTTTTCTCCTTCCCCCCCCTTTGATCGTGTTTACCGACATCAACATCAAAAAAGTATGGAGGAGGGGGGAGTAGTAGTAAGTGGTAAAAGTAAGTAAGTGCTCCGTATAAATGTCCTATGTAGGGCTGCTCGTTAGAGCTGGAATACTCGCCTATTTCTTTCCTTCAACAAAGTTTTTGAGCTCGTGTCAGGGAACTTCATGAAGATTGCCATGTCATGTTTGTGGCTGTTTTCTTGATGATGAAATGTATATATGAATGGGCACAACTATCTGTATATCTAAAATTTTGGGCTGTCAGTGGATGTCTGGATGGATTCATATCGTTGCTAGTCAATATTCAGACTCCAGCGAGTTATAATAACCAGTTGCTTCCATTATTTTAGTGTATTTTAGGAGGTTTCAAGGGGCTTATAGCTACTTTTGGGAAGTTCTTTTTTTTTCTTAGGTGGTTTGGGGTAACATATCCTAAGTACACAGTATGCTGAGTATAGTATATGCCCAAACCTCCCTCAGACAGACCGTAAAGCTCAAACTAGTCAGCTTAATTTGTTCCAGATACCAATTGTCTAATTCAATCCGTTTCGATTTCTCTCCTTACAAGATATGTCTTCGCATGTTGACGTCGGGTGATGCCGTTTTCTAGGTTCTTGAACGCCGAATTTTCGCCAAACTGCCTGCGCTCCATTGTTTGAAATAGATTCCATGCCTCCAAAATTTCACTCGTCATCATTTTCAGATTATTTTTGATGATCATTCGGGCAGTATCGAGGTCTCCGGAGAAGAGAGCGTTCAGTTCCATGAGTACCGCTGGATCCTCCCATTGTATCAGACCGATGATGGCTGAACTGACGTAGCCTCCTTGAATCAGCCTAGTAGAGGGCCCCCAAGGGCTCTTTATTTGGTGATCGAGCCGAGCCCCCGTCGACCAGCTTTCGGGAGAAGTCATGCGCATCAATGACTTCTTCAAGTCAGCTAGATGGCCTATTCGCGGGACCTCCAGGTCTCGGTCAGAGGGATTTGTGGCGAGATAGCAGACGGGCAGTCCTAACGTAGCGGACTTGTATGTCCCATGCCATTCCGGATTGAGGGCATGGTTCACCGTGAAGTCTCCATCGGATACGTCAAGGCTTTGGAAGTCCTTTAACAACGTCATCTCTGCAGCAGAGAAAACTATCTTGTCTTTGCCCTTGTTGAAGACACGATGGCCGAAAACTCGCCTTTTTTCTGCCCTTTGAAACCAGTTCTCTTTGTTATTTAATTGAGACAGCAAGCCCTTCCCGACTTGCCACTGTCTCTGGTCCTCTGACTTGACGGTAAACCACCCGCGAAATGATTGCTGATCTCGTCCTGAACCTTCGTTATCGGCAGGCTTTACCTCGGAGGGATAGCCCTCTACCGTGACATTATTTATTCTAGTTCGGGGCAGAGTATAGCGCGCAGGTTTTGGGAAGGCGAATAGCCTGAATTCCTTGTCGGTCCTGAGTCCTAGCAGTAGCAAGTAAGCGACCAAATCTTTCCTCAAAAACTGTTGTGTCAAGGAAAACTGCATATTGCCGATAACAGCATCGTCTGCGCGTCTGGTGGAATGGAACTCATAGATTTCGGCCTCTTGAAGCGCCAGTTTTGATAGTGTTATGCCTTCATTATTCAGAGGTACCTCCCAGTGAGAAAAGAGATCACGGAGAGTAACGCATCCGCTGTTCCTCATTTCCAGATACCGCTCGGTATCTGCTTCGCTAAGTTCAAGGATCTCCGCAACTCGGCGGGCAGTGATCGTGCTCACGTCAAATAGAGACGGAGTTTCGCCAGAGATTCGAAAGACGTTCATAGTTTCAGGACCTTGTGGCAAGGGTGGTTGCTTTTGCCCCCTAAACCAATGCCAGAAGGTTTCTTCACCTGATCAAAACTTTCTTCTCCCATGACACAGGTCCGTACACGAAAGGTGATTTCATCGTCAGTGCAGTCGGTCTTCATATTCAATGCGCTTAAAAGAACCCTAGAATGCCTGGGACAAAGCTCCTCTAATCCAGCGGTTTTCATCTTCAGCAAAACTGTGCGTGCCGCGCGTGTGGTGATATCTCTAGGCGATTGGGTGATGGTCCTGTATGAAATATCCTCCAAAAGTGTTTTGCATATGCAGTTTATCTTTGATCCAGAGCCACAGCCTCCTCTCCTGTCAGTCTTCTTTTCGGGTTTGATAATCGCTTGCTCTAGCTCTCCGTCTGACATGATCGGTGGTTCCTGGGCGAGTTTCATTGTCAAATCCTCATCCTTCCATCCGAGGACGGAAGAGTCTTCCGAGGAGCGGAGGGGGAGTACGTCCACCCGTTCACTGGGGACTGGCAGTCCAAACTCATCTATTACTGCATCTATCTCGTTCAGTTGAGCATTAGTCAACCCTTTCGCATCACTGCTCATCTTGGCCACTTTTCTGAAGTCGACGGCGCATACTTTGAGGGTCTGCGTCCTGCCCCTACCTCCTGTAGTGATTCTTTCGTATATAGCAAGACATAGGCGCCTCGCTACAAGCTTCCAGCTGGTAGTCCTCGCGATTGGGGCCACAATTCTTGCATAACCAACCCCCCTGGCGGTTTCAGTAAGGCGTTCCCTGATGTTCTGTCCCCATTTTTGGTCAACTGTATCCCAGAATGCCGCAATAAACTTTTTGGTATCGTAAAACCGCGTGGCTTTTCGCTGCACCCCGGACAGCGCTTCGGCAAACAACTGGGGGTTGTTTTTGACCACGCTGTGTCCCATGTAGAACTCGAGGATGAGGGCGTTAATACCATCCTGTACGTTGTTGCGAGTATTGCAGAGGGTCAGGAAGCTTTTGAGGATCTCGATCTTCCCCTCTTCTGTTCTCTCACCATCGACCTTGGTCACCAAATTCTCCAAAGTTATCTGAACTGCCTCGGTTTCGTTGCTCGCCCATGCCTGCACGCCCATCTCCCCTGAGCCGATCGTCTGCGAAAGAGCCGTCGCAGTAGGGATGATCCCTTGTGTGTCGGAAGTGTCGTCGGCATTGTTGGAAATTACCCTCTGCTTCTTCCTCGGCGGCTGGCTGCGCGTTCTGGGCGGCATGCTTACTCGGATCCTTAGCTGCGGGGTTTCGGGCTAGTCTGAACACGACCAAAGCCTGAACTTCAGGAATCAGACTGAGGCAATGCGTGGAGTAAAATGGAGGAGTAGCACAAGGGAGTGATAAATAATTGGATACTGTAGGGTTGCAAGGGAGTTGCAGACAATGGGGATAGTGATGTGGAGGAAGGATGGAGGAAGGATGCTGAGATGGTTGGGAGGGAGGGTGGGAGAGGGTGAGTGATTGATCAGACGAGGAAGGACTCCCCATTCCCCGACTTTTACATCACATCACGTCTCTTGATCGCTGAATATTACTCTCACTGATCTCTCAGCCAGGAAACAGGTGCGCTTTCCATAAACGGCCCATAATGAGTTTAAGCGGATCGAGATCTACATCCCAGAAACATCGGAACTGGGTTTAGAAGTTATCTCCACAAGACTCTGCCACAGTACCTAGTGCTAATACTAAGTATGCTAGTGGCATTCATGGGCCGTGCAGCTTTGAGGATCGGCTTGAATGCAGCAGGTGCAGCCCTATGGAGGAATGAGCCGAGGTAAGAAGGGCAGTAGCAGGTTCGTTTCAAGGACAACTTTCCGGTCCTTTTTTACAGCCTCTGATGTTATTGTTATTATTATCTACAGTCCTAATATTGGACAGGTACTCTGAGATAATAGACTGAGATTATACTACTACCTAGAGATGAGTTTGATCAAACTTTATACCTGGACTAAGTCCTCAACATTATGGTGAATCATATTATTAAGGATTGCACATTTCCGTGAAGCCGGCTTTAAAAATAACCGTACGATAGTGGGCGGACAAAAATCAACAGATGCTCTAGTTCTAGAAGACGAGGGGATATAAGAATAGCATGAAAAGCTTAGTCGGATCACAATAGTCGGTAGACCAAAGGTCGATAAATGCTCCGATCTTACCGACAAGAAAATACAGGAGTGAAGCGTCGCATGCCCTTTTCGGCAGTGAGATTGGGACCCAGAAATCCGCGTCTGGATGTAGCCATGGAGCGCCATGCCAGGCTTATTTTAGAGAAATCCTGCGTCGTGCAGTATTTATCCCTCCCCTTCCCCCCCCTCAGCTTTGCGGAATATGGTAATCAATATCCACGGGGAGAAACAACAGCCTGGGATAATAGCCCTGTCGAATTGGGTATGACAGAGACTGCATATATCGATTGCGTTGCTGATAGACGTTAAACTAATCCAACCATTTTCTTTCGTCCAGATATCCATCTATTGAGCCATGGTTATTATATTCGTTCCTGGTCACTAGCCCGGTAGAGCTAGCATGCTCCTACTACTAGCTGTATATCGACAAAATAATGTGGAAGAATCTTCCGGACCGGTCGACCCATGGGGAAATCGGGGGTCGGTTATGCTGACATCCAGGGCGTCATACTGCTGGTCGGTCTATTCAAAGGTAAACTAATTCCCATCCTCTCTTGTGTACATTGGATTATTGATCGATGCAAAGGATTTGTATTACCGATTTTCTGACGATGGTATCTGTATACTGATCTCCTACTGGGATTGTACAGAGTCCTAGAGGACCCGGCGCCCGGACAATGGGCTGAGCTTGAGGATTTCCCATTGGAGCACGTTAATGAAGACTTGCTTGTTCTTGATTCATAAAATAAATGTGACGTAAAAAGAACCACAGAGCATTAAGTAGGGCACAGTTTCTAATTAATTGATTCCGATAGACAAAGGGAGTTCTGGGGGGGAAAGAGAAGGAAAAGAAATTTCGAGATGAGAGAAAAAATGAAGCGATTTATAGCTAGAAAAAGGGGCCTAGCTAGGTGAATCTTATAGGGATTAAGGACAGAATAGTGGCAGGGAATATGAAAATAGGATAGTGATGCATATATGATAAAGAGT